CATCAAGACGAACTCACCAGTGAAAGAGAAGGCAAGCGGCAAAAAGCAAAGCACCCTTCTCTGCCTTAGCCTTTTATATGGGCTGCCATCAAATGGTAACACCCACATTTAGGGTGTGTCTTCCAGCTTCAGATGATCCATTCAAGAAGATCTCTCTCATTTCCGTTAATCCCAGATCCAGTCAAGTTAACACCCAGGATTAGCCATAATACCTACTAAGTCCAGTTAATACTGCCCATATGTTCCTGGGTGTGGGGTCACTGAACCCTGTACCAACCTGCTTTACATAACCAATAAAGAAAGGACCTAGGCACCTGGATAATACAAACAGAAGCATACTTCAACTTAATTTTCATATCAGAATCATAAACAACAAAAGAAATTCACATGCCAAAATCACAACAAAAGAATAATAAAATGGAAAGCCAAAGCACTATATTCCCAGCAAAGCCCACCAATCCTGTAGAAGAGTTCTACAATGAGAAGCCCCTAGAGATAACCCATGACACTGAATTTAAAAGAACAGTAATAAACATGAACAAGGAATTCAACAAATTTAAAGAACACACAAAGAGCTAAAAGAAGATAGGGATAAACTTCTGAATGAATTCACAAAAGAGATAGAAACATTGAAGAAAACTCAGGCAGAAATGAAGAAGGAAGTCCAAAACTCTATAAGTCAACTTGAAACAACAGGGGAAAGCCTCACCTCTAAATGAATGAAATGGAAAACAGAATATCAACACTGGAGAATAAAGTTGAAGAACTGGATCACTCAAACAAAGAGTATGGAACATTTAAAAACCACAGGAATGGAATGTACAAGAGATGTGGGACACCATGAAAAGACCAAACCTACGGATCATATGAATAGAGGAAGGGGAAGAATTTCAGGTTAAAAATCTGTTGACCAAAAAGATCTGTTGACCAGTTCTTAAACAGGATTATAGAAGAGAATTTCCCGAAATTAAGGAAAGACATCCCCATACAAATACAGGAAGCACATAGAATACCAAATAGACAGGATTAGAAAACAAACTCCCCACAACATATCATTGTAAAAACACTAAATGTACAGAACAAAGAGAGAATGCAAGTCACATACAAACGAAAGCCCTTCAGAATCACAGCTGACTTATCAATGCAAACTATGAAAGCCAGAAGAGTCTGGACCAAGGTATTTCCAGTTCTACATGACAGTAGATGCTAGCTCAGAATACTATACCCAGAAAAAATGTCCACTATAGTTGAGGGGGAATGAAAAATCTTCCATGACATGAACAGCCTGAAAGAATACATATCCACAAAACCAGCCCTTCAAAGAATACTTGAAGCAATATAGAGAGCAGAGAGAAAAACAACTGTACCTTGGGGCAACAAAAGAAAATAAAGATATAATATAGGAAACACAAAATTACACAGAGAACACAAACAGCAATCAGAATGAAAGCAACCAATACACACCGTTCAATAATAACCTTAAATATCAATGGACTGAACTCCCCAGTCAAAAGACACAGGCTAAGTGAATGGATTAAGAAACAAAATCCATCTCTGTTGTCTGCAAGAAACCCATCTCACCTTTAAGGACAAGCACTACCTTAAGGTAAAAGGATGGAAAAGAATATGCCAAGCAAATTGCACTAAGAAACAACCAGGGGTTGTAATCCTAATATCTGACAAAATAGACTTCAAAGTAAAACTAACCAGAAGAGATAAGGAGGGTCACTTCATTCTGATCAGAGGAACAGTTAACCAAAAAGATATTATAATCCTGAATATATAATGCACCAAATTCTGGTGCACCCAAATTAATAAAAACAACACTACAGGACTTTAAAACATAGATTAACCCCAATTCAGTAATAGTAGGGGACTTCAATACCCCACTGTCTCTATTAGACAGCTCAACTGGACAAAGAATAAACAGAGACGTCTGTTTTAAATGATACCATACAACAAATGGACCTAACAGACATCTTTCGATTATTCCACCCAAACACCAAAGAATACACTTTTTACTCAACACCTCATGGAACTTTTTCAAAAATTGACCACATACTGGGCCACAAAACAAACCTCAACAAACACAAAAATATTGAAATAATTCCATGCATT